GTCGAGGATTTTTTTATTGAAAATATTGAGGCCGCTCATGGTAAAAAATCTTTAAGCAAGTTGTGTCGCAATTAATTAATCACAATTTACAGTGTATAAAATTGCTTTTCAATATTAGTTAATATCTATCGTGGATTTTATCGCTAGTCTGGTGTCGTTGTTGATAATATCGTTCAGTTAAGTTGGCGGTTCTGATAATTGAAATTCTAAAATACTTCAATTATTCTATTTAATCAAATAGTATCGTCATCTTTATTACACGTATAGTGATTCACAAAGGCATGGAGCAAGAAACAGTAGTTAGTCTTGTGATACCCCAACTGTGATAGTTGCGTTAGGTATTGATTGCTGTTTTGTGGGGATTGTTTTCATAGATAGTCACAGTCACATTTTTTTAAAGGGAATTCTTCGATCCCTTATGTCCATTTAAAGATTGGCTTTACGGATCTGAAATTTATGAAAAAGTGATTTTATCAAAGCTTTAAAACGCAAAACTGATTTACTTCGGCGATTCAGGTTGTTTTTTTCTCTAATAACCTCTTGTTTGTTTAAGGTGCAAAGTCAATAATCACGCTTTCGCTTGTATTTTTTTCCCCAATAATAGTGTAGTTCGCAATACAGAAATAGTTAAGTAGTATGAAATATGAGTGACCGACTAGAAGATGTGATCAGAGGATGTGTGAGACAATTTGCTTCAACTTCAGATTTCACAACCTTCGCACAATCTGGGAACGGACTCTCACTCAGTGTGCAAGATGTCACTACGGTCATTGAAAACCACAGATTCTCTGTTGAAGAACAGAAGAAGAAATTGTTCTGGCTTTGGGTTGAAAGAAACAGACCGAATGTAACTGCACAAAGGATAAGAAATCTTGTTACGCAATATCGTGCAGCTGAACAACAAGGCGCTGCTGCTCCTATTGACAGACTTGAAGATGTTTTTCAAGATGTTATTAAACAATTTACATCCAAGGAATTCAAGCAATTTGCGAGATCAGGGCAGGGATTATCTCTTACTGAGCATGAAGTTGACACTGTCACAGAAAATAATAGATTCTCGGTGGAGGAGCGCAACCTTAAATTACTGTGGAAATGGAGACATTCTAAGTATCCAAATACTGATGATGCAGCTGTGATAGAAAGAATAAGAGCAGTGGTTGGGCTTTATGTTCAAGATGCAAATCAAGTAGAGGAAGAGCAGATCATTCAGGAAGATGGAGACAGAATGTTGGAATCATTCAAAAAACTTTCTGTGAAACCAACTCAAACAACTGAAGTTTCAGAAGAAAAAGAATTTCTTGAAGTCGTGAAAAATTATACAAAGCAGATGTTGGAATCTAGATTGAAATCCGCCAGTGAAAAAACAAAAATGGATGCTTTTATACTTCCCAGGGTTACCGAGTTCAAGGAATCGGAATCCAACAAACAGAGTAGTTTGCAATCAGTGGATATCAGGAAGATTCATTATGATAACTCAGTCAACCGTGTGATGTTGCTAGGAGACACGGGCTCTGGAAAAACAACATTTTCGATGAAATATGCATTGTCAGCGCTGGAAAAAAGTTTAAATTTTTCGGACGAAATTAAGATGGTCTATTTTGTGGATGTTTCTAATTTACAAGCGGATTCCCAATCAACCGCTTTTGATCTTTTATTCGTTCAACAACTTGGATCGAAACTTCCTGAGCATCTCCATCGTGTTGGACAAAAGTGGTTGAAACTGAATTCAAAGCATATTCTGCTTGTAGTTGATGGGTTGGATCAGAGTCGAAAGCCTTTTGCAAATGATTATGGAAGAATTGGAGTGGACACTCCAGCAAAAACCAACACTATTCTCGCTAATATTTTATCCGGCCACATATATCCAGGAATGAAGATTTTGTCAACGACTCGTTGGAATGTTTATTGGAAGTTGCCTCCAGATCTCAAGGCCACCTTGAATCTCACCTTAGGGGGATGGGATGATGAAACACTCAAACTTCTTGCTGAAAAGTTATTTAGTTGTGAAGCAAAAAAAATATTTGATGATTTGAGACGTGAAGCACCAGAACTTGTTTCAAACCCAATGTTTTTTTTCTACTTGGTTCAAGTTTTGAAAGATTCTCAGGAAAGTGATGTTGGCACTTTAACAAATCTGATGGTTTCTGTTCTGAACCTTTTTTCAGGATCTCGTCACGGAGGAAATGTCAAACGTCCTGTATCAAAACTCATGAAGTTGGCTTTCCATGGAATGATAGAAAATCGATTTGTTTTCACAGCAAGTTATATTGAGTCACTCAACCTGGATATGAATGACATGCGTGGACTTGTTGAGATGGATGCTGACACTCGATTTGTTGAGTATGTTGCAGACGACGATGATATAAAAATGAGATTCCCTCATCAAAGTATAGGAGAGATTCTTGCTGCCCTGTATGCCTGCACTCTTGATTTGGATGAATACAAGAAGTTTATCGAGAATTATTATGATAAACCAGGAATGGAAGTCGTTATAAAACATACTTTTGGAATTATTCTCAACAAATCAACTTCAGAAAAAGCAGCAAAATATCTTCCTGATAACTTGCATTTCAAGTCTGAATACCTGATGGGCTACTTGGATAAATTATTGGAAGGAAAAGTCATTTCAGATGAACGAGTCGTGACTTTATTGCATGAATGTGGTCCTGATGTGATCAAGAAAGTTTGCTCACAAATAAAAGAGATGGTTTTGACGTCAGTCCAACCTGGAGAACAGCATGCAGTGATGTCTGTTGCTGAGCATAGTCCTTCACTTCATACTTTGCAACTATGGAGATTGGAAATACATCCTGGAAATTATTATTTCTTGCAACATGTTCTTGGTTCTGTGCAGAATATTTATGTGTATAGCTTCGATCTTATCAATCTTTCAACCCTGAATGAAGCCATGATGAAGGGAAACCTTAAGATTAGGTTGAGCCTCATGATAAGTGGAAGTCCAGCACTTGAACCTCCTGGTTATTCTTATCTAATTGGATTGGTTTGTCATGGTGGTGCGAAAAGTTTTATAATGAGAGACTGTGGCCTGAATGCAGAGAAAATAAGTAAGATGAACCAAGCAGTCATTGAATATGGAGTGAAGTTTAATTCATTGGATATTGATGAGGATCCTAACATGGATGCAGAAGCATTTCAACAATTGCCTCAATTATTAGGGAATGCAAAGACTGAAGATCTTACACTGACTGACTGTGGCCTGAATGCAAATAAAATAAGTAAGATGAATCAAGCAGTCATTGAATATGGTGTCAAGTTGTTTTCATTGAATATCTATGAGAATCCTAACATGGATGCAGATGCATTTCAACAATTGGCAAAGTTGCTGAAAAATACTGAGGCAAAGCATCTGCGGGCACATCATTGCACTCCAACAACTGAGCAGTTATCAGCTCTTTGTTCAAGTTTAGAAAATGAAGATGTCAAGTTGTCTATCTTACACCTGGCAAGATCAACTACAGAATCCCTCACTGATGATGAACTGATGATTGTTTCCAGATTGGTTCAGAGGGTGAGAGAGCTCATGTTCTATTGTCAAGAGTTGTCCGAGTCAAAGATGGAATTTCTGAGGAAGGAAACTGTGAGACTTTGTTCAAGTGCAAAGATAGAGTGTGGATCATGGTGTTTCTGTATAATTAATCCAATCATGGTTCAGGCTCAAAGGGACTTACACATTTAAGAAATTCTGAACAAGCATGTGTTTCCAAGCATGAAGCATCCAAAGATACTTCACAAATATCCAACCTATTTCTAATTAACCCAGAAACAAAGAATACTGTCCTTTGGGGTGCGAAATACTTCAAAAAAAAAAAGTTTGGAGTTTCCAATTAAAATTCCTATTTCAAAGCACAGAATACTGTTAAATACCAGGCAATTCTGCATTTCATCTGTGAGGCCTGCACTTTAAATCAAGTAATCGGACTAATATTATTACTGATATATTCATTCTGAAATAGTGCGATAATTAGACTTAAATGAAGCTTCTTATTCTACATATCTTGACTCTCACTTTATAGAACTGTCACTTGGACATGCATTCCTCAAACTAAAGTGAGAGAGAGTGCATGTTCTTAGATTGAACTGAGTCATATGTTCTTTATTACTGTTTTAATATATTTTCATGCTAATTTATAATCTCCAACTATTTGTATTAAATTTTGTATTTTCAAACATGTAATAGATATATTACTTACTGTTACAAATGAAAATTTTATATTAATTCTGAGAAAGAGATATATTTTGACTCTGATGTTAAAGAGCCAACTTTCTGACATAATATATTATACCCTTAAATTGAACTTAGATTCTTGACTATTGTGATTATTTCATGTGTATTTATTCAGTATATCTGACTCTCACTCAATAGAACATCCACTTGGATATGTGAGGTCTTAAATTAAACGGAGTCATATGTTAATAATTAGTGTTTCAATATATTTTCAGTGTGTGTTTATAATCTTCAATTATTTTCATTATATTTTTATTTTTAAACATGTATATTGCTTACTGTTGTATTCTTACTGTTTCCCAAGCATGATAATGTTTCAAAACGTATATTAATTCTGAGAAAGAGAAAGCAGATAATATTATAAATATTTCAATTTCATGATGATTGTTATTATTCGATATATTTGACAAGCATATCAATAAATAAACTGAGAATTATACATTCTTTAAATAGTGTGACAATGTTATTTCAGTGTGTGTTTATAATCTTCAAATGTTTTATTAAGTAGGTTTCGTAATTGTTATGCAACTGTTTTATGAGGTAAAAATAAATTTATCATCATCTTCCTGTAATACTTTTTGATCCCTAATGCAATCCAATATGTCACAATTCTATTTATAACCACTGCACTATGTCGCTGAAGCATATCCCCCATATTCATGATGCCACATAACTCTTGTATAATTCAACATATCCTATACATTCTTTTATTGCTGTAAATATTGACTAATCTGTGTGTTCTTGTGATTTTAGCCTTAGCTTAATGTAGGCGATGATATATTGAGCCATGTTTCTACAAGAGCATTTTGGGATTTATAACTCATATAGAGATGTAACCTGGATATACTGGGAGTAGCTGTACCTGGATATGCTGTTCCTATGGAGAGTAGCTGAACAGTCCGGTGAATGAAACGAGTAAGTCTTGAATTGTTTTTATATTCAATTTTTTGATGAATTTCCAAATTTCCAGTCAAATTTTCTTTGAATTGAAACTGGTTTCGTAAACAGGTAAAAACATAGTAAATGCTCGTAGAGGGAGAATGTTCAATAAGTGGTCACATTTGGGCACAAAACTCTGTATTCTAAATGGTATTTAATTTGGAGGTGTTTTTCTGGAGGCAATATCGTTTTTCTTTTTTTCTGTGTGCTCACCCATATATATTTAAGGGTCTATTCCAGGGATCTGCAACCTTCCAAACTCAGCGTGCCAGTTAATGAATAATAATCACCTTCGCGTGCCAATATTTGTATCTGTATGGTTTGCATAGTCAACTCCCTGATCTGAATAGTAAGCGGATAAGAAACAAATTTATTGTATTGGATAACGCAAACGGAAATTAGGTTACAGAGATTTCGGCATACAGCATTTCTACATTCTACCAGTAAGAAGATAAAATTCATTTCGATACAACCGCAGTATGTGTACCAAGATGGTGGACATCGAAACATAGTGTGTGTACCAGTTCAGGGTTCAGGGCCTTAATTTCAGGTATAAACACTAAGGGAGTCATTTGGCTAGTACCCAAACTCATAATAAAACTAAAATAAGGAAAATTGGAATGAAAATATGCCCTAACCTGGTACACATACTACGTTCGGGTGTCCATCTTGGTACACATACTACGGGAGCACCTTTATTTCATCTTTTTGTTAGGGCTCTATGTAGCTCACTGTGAAATGATGAAAATTTCTGCTTCCGTGTTTTCAACGTAACTCTCGGTTGCATCTCCTTGCGGCAAAATATAAACATTACTATAGTCTAATACAGTGGTTCCCAACCTTTCTAACCTAGCGGACCGGTAAAACTAAATGTAATCGCGGACCAGCAAAAAAAGGAAATGACCGGAACGGATAATATATTGCAATTTCGGGCGCTCAATATGATTCCAGACTAAAAAGGAACACTCAAAAACATTTCACACAGAGAAAAACTATCAAATAATGTGCCGGCTGAAATTTGAAATGAGTGAAACACAATAAAAGGCACGCATAAAACATCTCACTTAAAAACATGTACATGCCAAATAATGTACAAACACAGTTAAATCTAGTGAGAATTTTGCTGCTGTTTCGTTTCCAATATAGGATTGCAAACGAGACCCCAAAGAAGTTTCTGCAACATTTATCTATGCAGCGGCGTACAGCCGATTACTTTGCTTCGTTTTAATTAAAGTTAGTGATGAAAATGTTTTTTCGCATAACACAGTAACTGGTTGAAAATGCGGACAACAGTTTGATTGCTCGATTACTCAGCGACGGGTATTCGTAATCAAGATATATCCAAAATTGTGACACTGATTCTTTCTTAAATCTGTAAAGTAGAATCACAATTTCAATCACAATCAAAATTTTCCTTCTCATCGGGTTCATCATATTAACCTCTATGCAGTTGATCGACGCCTCAAACGAAACGAATTTATATTACAATGACAGGGTCGTCGGTAACTTGGCACCAGGTCCTACTGTTCTTCGTCTCCCCAGTATTATTTAAATGTCCATAACTAATAAATCAGGGTAAACCTAAAAAACAATCTCACAATTTTTTTAAATGTTCACCATGAAAATGAAAAGGAAATATTTAGTGCTTGTAGCAGAAGCCACTCCCCCCCCCCAACTCTTCTTCGTTAAATAAAAATTTCTTTCTTGCTCAGAGGATCTCGCCAGACATGCTGGAGGATGACAATATCTTCGACCTTATCCCAAGACTTCAAGGTCGTAGGATGGACGATCAACGATGTGAAATGAGGGACGGCGAATATGAATTATCAGCGTTTTTAAAACCTAACTCCCCAGACCCCCCCTCAAATCATCACCCAGCAATGGGGTAGTGGGGGAACGAGAACCCATTAGGAATGATGGGGGTGAGTGTTCTTTCATTATTTTTAAAAATGTTGCGGGTAACGGAGTAGCAGTAATTTTCTTGGACGCATAACTACAACGCTAACGTTGAAAAAAACATTTTTTTAATTAATGGACTTTGTTGTTATTGTTGTGGAAAAATCGTCTTTCATTACTTGACCAATTGCTTTGATATTTTCTGCGATTAAAGATTATATTTTGCTGGAAGGGTATTTTATCTATTTCAAAAAATCAGGTGGGCTTTATTATGGGATTTGTTTTTCCCCATAAAATTTTGTGAGGTCATGTCATCGAAATAATAAAAAAAATAATTTCGCACCTAGTTGCGGTTCCACCTTCACAATCGTTGCATTCTGGTAGTCAGTCGAATTGAGAAGACCACAGTACCGGTATTTTTCGCTAGAAGGCCATTATGTCTATTTGTTCCTAAATTTTTTGTGAGATCTGATATTTCATCTAAAATGCGGTGTATAATTTTTAATTACGCGAATACAATTTTATGACATCGTGATGACTGCCTTCCACGTCTTTATGACATCATGATTGCTGGTACTGTAATCTATTGTGAAAGATTGCTGCCCATACCTGTTTCCATATGTTTGAGCATCGCTATCTTATTCTCTCAGAAGGCCAACATCAGCAAATTTCAACAATGATGAATATGTTAGCAAACTCGCAATCAAAACGCATGGATGAGCAAAGGGTAAGTCTGTCTGGACTTCCTGGGTTAAGGGTCAATGATGGCATCAACGGCGAAAGAGTCATCAATCTGCAACAACCAGATGGCGCTGCAGCTCCATTACCAGGTATAGTGTTTTTTATACAACACATATTCACATCTTCCATTCCGAACTAGGTCCTAAACAAGCGAATATGAGTCTCTTTTTTTCTGAAAAAGTGCATATAGCCTTGCTTTTAGCTGATATCATTAAAATGCTTGCCCATAACTCTGTTCTGAGATGAGTCTTGTCCTAGGATTTTTCGAATTTATCTCGGAGTGAAGAAAGCCGATAATCAGATTAATCATATTATGGCGAACCACGACTTACCAGTCCATTTAGGGGATGGGATTAGTTGCCATTTATTTGTTTCAAATGTGTAAACTTGATGGTGGAGGAAACCGTAACCGACCGGCCGTTATGTTAATCGTGTTGCGATGGCGAGAAGTCCAGCAATATTCTCGCATATAATTAACCCTGCATGGGATTCGTACCATGGCAGAGTAATCAGAGGTTCGGTAACAAGCGTATTTCTAGCGCTTAGCACGGAGCGCTCACTGCTAAGCCTATGTAATCTAGTAGCATTTGGTATTTCAAGGGTCGCCTGAAACTTAGTTCAGTTATTTCTGAGCGAGTGAGAGAGATTTTTCTTTGATAGATTTCCTTGAAAAAAGCAAAGTTTTCAGTTGTTTTTCATTCTTTCTTTTCAGTGGTTCTTCGACCAAGACTGGAAAATGGTGGAATACCAGGAAATGAAAACAGACATTCACTCGATGACACATTTTTTAACGCTCTCATGAGATGCCAGGTGAGTGTTTTGTGAGGAGCGTTTACGTGACGTGAGAGGAGTCCACTTTACTCATCAGTAGGGCCGGACAGTTCTAATCAAATAGTAAATTATTCACATTGGTTCAGATGGCCGCCATCTTGTTATTTGTCCGTCCACAGGTTGAGATGAAACCATCATTTTTTATTTATTCATGTCAAATCGACCGGTTTTTAACCTATTGAGTTATTGATAAAACACGTTTCTTTCTGTGTGTGAACGCTCAGCAAACTGTCTGAGTGATGAATTCTATGTTTTCAGTGATTTATGTGTCTATAAGGCCCATCTATTCCATTAGGCTACAATTATTGGCCAAAACCTAATCGAAATGAAACTTTTTCGTTCTCAGAGCACGAGGTTAAATGACCAGCGCTCGTCCCCTCCGATATTCGACGCTCCGGTGCTGCCAACGCCCACTATTCCAGACGAAGATTTCTTTGCATTGATTGTTCGAATGCAATCGTCAAGAATCGAGGACCAGCGCTGCCGTTTTAGTCCAGAACGGGAATCCCCTCCTAATGTGGACCCCGATAATGACGACATATCACAGTAAATGTGGGACATATTTTGATGCCCACTGTGGCACTAAGCTGAATTTGGTTGTTGTAAATCTGTTCCGTGGCATTTTTGTGATGCCTTGCAATGTTTTTTATTCAGTGGTATCAGATATGCGCCATGCCACTTGTCATGCCGCACCTCACACCTTGCTGTGTTTTAGACAGTGGCATTACATGTGAGCCATGGCACCTACCAAGCGGCATCGAATAGCCACCATTGCTTTGTTCATTGTGTTTTGAAACAATGACGTTTTATAAAAATTGTGGCATCTACTGTGTGGCATCAAAAGTGTACTAATGCCATGTAACATGGTTCCTGTGTTTCACAGGCAGTGGCATCAAAACAAACCATGCCACCTACTAGCGTGGCATGGAGAGAATTATTTTCATTGGAAAGACACACACTGCCCTGAGATTTTGGAGACACTGAGGCATTCAATAATGCCTCAAAATCAATTTGATGCCCCATTTAAATGCCATACTGCCATAGTAAATATCTTCCAACTATGGGTTGGGGATTGACCTCCCATTTCCTTGCGACATGGTTAAGATGCCACTAACTTCCTGTGCCACCATTGAAGATGTTTTTGCTGCCATGTAGTAATTTTATTTCTAATTATGTCACGCTTGAGCTAACATTGTGCAGTTGTAGAAATGAAAAATTAATTATGCATCATAAATACAGTGCTTGAAATAAGCCATCAATTGTGAAGTAACCAACTACGGTCAGGTCTGTGAAGTAGGAAGAAATTTACGCACTGACTTAAAAAAATATTCGCATGTATGTATAGTTATTAGCCTTGAAATTTGAAAGCGCGCGCATAATTAATTAATAATTAACAAGGCCTTAACTGGCCTAAGACACAGTTGTCTGACATCTATCCTTCACTAACAGAACAACGGTTAAAGACTACCATGTTGAAATGGGACAATACACATGGAAATATAGAAGTAAAACTCAAGCGCAGTGGTTCCCAAGTGGGGGCCCCGTAACCCCCCAAAGGGGCCACAAAGCAATTGTGGGGGGGCCACAACGTTAGGCTCAAAACTGATTTTCTTTCAATATCAATAAAACAAAAATCGCAAAAAATTTTTGATACATTTGATATCATGAAAAAAAACTTGTCAAACTCTGAAAAATTAGGATGTGCTCCCAAACACGAACACTGAAAAAAAAAAGAATTTTGGATTACAAAAACTTCTGGCATATTCAGGCCTCAAAGTGCTCCGAATGTCGAATGATTCGAATATCTACTTCCAGAGCCATAAAGTGGAGGGTTTCAAAATATCGAACATCAATGAAATTGTGTCAAACTCTCACCCTACAGGCTGGCCTTCATTACTAACTTCATTACATCAGTGAAAAAATTTAATAATCAAAACTTACAACTCTTCTACACATCAGCTGCTTTGATAGTTTTTTATTTCAACTTTGTGTCTGTTTATTAAGTTTAGTTTATTTCAGTACGATTTCTTTGAATAATCATTGAGGTGTGACTGGCCAGAATAATCTAATGCTAATGTAATGGTGGCAGTGCTGCTATTTTCAAGCTTCAATACTATTTCCTTTAATATTAATTATTAAGGCGTGACTGGCCAGAATATTCCCATGCTAATGTAATGGTGTCAGTGCTGCTATTTTCAAACTTCAGTACAATTTCTTTTAGTATAACCATTGAGGCGTGTCTGGTCAGAATTATCTAATGCTAGTATAAAGGTGTCAGTGCTGCTTAATTCAAACTCCCTTATTTTTGATGTTGAATCACACTGAAGTTAACTTGACCTCTTTTTTAACTGCTGCAATGTTTTTTTATGTGAATATTGTTTCAGATTTCATTTCTATGATCGTAATTTGCAAAAATCAGAATCTGGAAAAATGTTGTAATTCACCTTTCTCATACCTGATTTAAGACCAGGGCTTCAGAGCCGGTGAAATTTATAATCGACTGCCGACTTTATGTCGGAAAAAATTTTTCATTCCGGCTGAACGTAGGGAAAATTAAATCTTGATTATGAAACTCTGGCACCTGCAAGTTTCCTTAATTGTTTATTTAAAACGATGAGGTAAAGCATACCCTCTAAAAATGGCTCGGAACGATAATTTTTTTCGTGTGTGTGTGTGCACTCTTATCGTGAAAACGTTAGTTTGAGTACTAACTTCTCATTCACCGCTATGTTTCTTTATCATAGATGTGAGATAGCTTTGGCAATACAGTGGTTGCCTTTAAGTTCACTAAAAATGAGTCTACGTTGCTTCTGAGTGAGTGTAAACACCTTGCTTTGAGCAAATTATTTCTCAGTCAAGTCGCTTCTGTACCGGGTCAAGGTTGATGTTTAATTAATTCAACTTTTTTCATTTTCTTCTTGTTTTATTAACACTGTACTTCTTAGCCCGGTGATGTTTATTCATTTTGAACTAATTTTTTTTGTTTTTTTTCTTATTTTTATTCATTTTTGAGTGAATTCTGTTAAGAAAAAAGGGTGACGTTCTCTTCAATGCATAATTTGCAATTCCGAATCCAAAATGTTTCTGAATCTGAATGTATCAGGCCATGTTCAGAAAAATTTTTCCACAAATTATTGGGCGTTCCAGAAGTATGTGTACCAATATGGAGGTATCTAATTTTGTTCGCCTATTTTACATCAAGTTGTGTAAAGGGACTGAAACCTATGGGCAGGGGGTATATTCACTTGAGTAATACAAACAGTTCCGGGACTCTTAATAGAACTAAAATAAGGAAAATTGGAATAAAATTATGGCCTAGCTCTGACCTGGTACACATACTATATAATAAAAATTATGAATGAATAGCCCTGTTTTTTGTAGCAAGATAACTCTTTATAACTAAATTTTGTTTTAATCATGGTTTTTTCTGCAAAAGAATAGGTTGCATAGAGCCCCATATTATGATCAGCGCTAGTAATTGTAGCAAGATTGCCCCCTTTTTGATAAAATTATGTTTTAATAATTATTACATCCTTCTGAGTTCTGACATTAGAGTAGATGTTGCGACTCCGAGGAGGTTCGAGTTTGATGGAAAGGATGCAAAACGGTTCTTTCAATGCTAAGGTTGCTGACCCGTGCACTAGGCCATTATGCTGATAGTATTTATAGATTAGTATTAAATCATGATTTCTGTTATTTTTCATATTTTTTTTTTTGCTAAATTTATTTCTAATCATGTTTGTAAATACTATATTTCTAATTAAAAATGTTATCAATTATTTTGTTAAAAATCGCTTTCCTGGTTGCGATAATCACACATAAGAGACCACCACTGGTGGTACCCTGGTGCAGCAGTTCCTAACAAGGGGCTGTCGCCGTTAAATAGGGGTCACAAGGTGCAGAACAGATTTTACTTGTCCCTTGACAAGAAAACTTCCTAGTTTCGTTGCTTGATAAGGTTGTTTCACAGGGTCTAATCACTTTATTGAGCATGAATTGTTTGAAACTAATGGGATTTGGAATCTTCCAATCATAATAACACTATAAATACCACTGGGCCATGAGGCTTAGAAACCTTTGGAAGGGGGCCACAAGCCATAAAAGGTTGGGGACCTCTGCTATATTGTCAGAGTTTAGCAAACTTTGACTTTATCCATTCATCCGTTTTTAAGGCGTTATTGCTTTGAACGAGAATCCAGTAAAAATTCACTGAAAAATGCAAAACCCCACTTATTCTCCCGATTCGATATTGCCTACCGAGTTTCTTATACACTTGTCAGGGTGGCTAACATGAGGTTTGAACCTGGGATCTCTAACTTGTGTCCAGCCAATACTGCTAGGTGCCACATCTTTTGCTGTGATTATCAGATTTTTTATGTGTTCGCAACTTTTATTGTTTCCTTTACTGAAGGTTTGGCAAGTTTCTGTATGTGCCAGCGCAAATTTACAATAATTAAAGCAAAATGTGGTAGATATGCATGTTTATTGATTTGTTTTTTGAAGGGGAAGTTCTGAAACAAGTCGGTTGGGAATTCAGATTTCTAATTGTTAAATTCACCAAGCTTTCTAAATTGACAGTTACAGGAGGTTTGCATATGCCGAGGTATTTGGATCAAAAATTTGATTTTTCTGGAGCCCAGAGCTGGAGTTGAAAAATTTCTTTTGACCTGGAAGTTTTAGTTAAATTGGTCTATACAGAGACACCTAAGATCAGGGGTGGGCAACTTCTTTAGTCGGCGGGCCAGATGTGGGAAAATGAAGTTCTCGGCGGGCCGGATTATAACATGAATAGTATTCAATATCTTAATCACATATTATTATTACAAAAAATAGAGACCAAAAAACACATAATGAATTTATCATAATGTACTAAAAGTGTTATAATGTAATATCCTGATGTACAGTCAGCGGGCCGGTCGCCGTATGTTGCCCATCCCTGCCTAAGATGATACTTAGATCTCCTAATATTGGTTCCCAAA